GCCAAGATTCAGGTGCGCAGATTTAAAAACAAATGAAATAGTATGTGCAAACATAGTTCCGGATATGCTTATAGGAATGAAGCATTTTTGGAGATTCTTCAAGGGAATAGAACCATTATCGGACTACTTATTTAAAGTCGAAACTACAGTCGGTTCAATTATTTGTGGCGAAATTCACAATGAAAAAAGGACTTCAAGTAGGAAAGAAAATTTATGTACAATCCTAGGTGGCAATATATCAGAAAGTGAAGAACTTAATAATTATTGGTCATTAGAGACTATAGGAGTCAGGGATGACCCAATATGTAAAGATGATAAAGTGGCTTTGGATATCTTTAATAATACGATTAAAAGAAAAGAAAATGGAAGCTATATAGTAAAATGGCCTTGGAAAGTCGAAAGAGAAAGTTTACCATCAAACTTTTCACTGGCTTATAAAAGATTTTTAAATCTGATGGATAAATTAAATAAAAATCAGGACTTGTTAAATAAATATGATGAAATAATTAAAAATGATTTAGTAAGAGGAGTAATTGAAAAGGCTGATAAGAAGAAAGTTGGAATAGAACACTTTCTTCCTCACCATCCAGTTGTTAATACAAAAAAAGTGCGCATAGTTTACGACGCTTCGGCAAAGATGAGAGAAGGGAAAAGCTTAAATGAATGCTTATATCGCGGGCCAATAATCATGCCGGATTTAGCAGGATTATTAATACGTTTTAGAGTACCAAAGGTTGCTATGTGGGCAGATATTGAGAAAGCTTTCCACACATTAGAATTGGAAGATGAAGACAGGGAAGTAACAAAGTTTATTTGGGTTAAGGATACAAAGAAGCCTATATCAACTCAGAATATCCAATATTTTAGATTTGCAAAAGTTCCCTTTGGGGTGATTTCTAGTCCTTTTTTGCTTTCGGCAACTGTTAGACATCATCTAGAAAAAAGTGATGATCCGGTTGCGAAAATTGCCAAAGAAAATTCTTATGTAGATAATATTTTTATTGGAGTTGAATCAACTAATGAAGCATGGCTTGCATATGGAAGATTAAAAAAGATATTTAAGAATGCCCAAATGAACTTAAGGGAGTTCATTAGCAATGATATGGAACTTAATGAACAGTTTCCTATTGAGGACAGGTTGGAGAAAAATAAGCCAAAAATTCTGGGAGTACCATGGGACATATATACTGATAAAATTAATATTGTATTCCCATTAGTGAATTTTAGTGAAAAAGTAACTAAGAGAATTGTTTTACGTCAATTAGCAAGTATGTTCGATCCCTTGGGACTTGCTTCCCCAAGTCTCTTAGCAGCAAAATTATTTTTTCAGTCACTATGGACTAAGGAGAATAAATGGGATGATAAGATTAGTGATGAAAATGTGATAAAATGGAAGGAGATTACGCATTCATGGGGAATAAATCCCATTGAAATTAATAGAAGAGTTACTGAAATTAAAAGTGAAAAACAATTGCATGTTTTCTCTGACGCTTCTAAATGTGCATATGCTGCTTGTGTATATATTAAATCGCAATTTAAAGGACAAATATACACACAAATTTTATATGCAAGGAACCGATTAAAACCAAGGAAAGCTGAAGTAACAATACCACGCATGGAACTTTTAGGTGTGGTAATTGCTAAAAGAGCTCTAGAATTTGTAGAGAAACAAATCGGTGTTGAAATAAAGGATAAATTTTTGTGGTGTGATTCTAAACCGGTACTGAGCTGGATAAGGGCCGGAGGTAAAAATGAAAAATTTGTAGAAAATAGAATAAAAGAAATACGAAAAAATAATGGAATTAAATTTGGTTATGTAAATACGAGTGAAAATCCGGCGGATATAGCCACCCGTGGAATAGTGGCATCAGATTTAGGAAAATGTCCTATTTGGTGGGAAGGCCCCGAATGGTTAAGGAAACCAGAAGAAAAATGGCCAAATGAATTTAATTTTGAGATCGAAAAAGAGGATAATGAAGAAGATAATTTAGAGTTAATATTAAATTACGAGGCTAAAAAAGCAGAAAATTTATTTAATTTTAATAAATGGAATTCATGGAATAAATTAATTAAATGTTTTATGTTTTTATCTATAGCAGCTCGAATTTGGTTAGAAAAGGGCAGAAAAAATATAAAAGGAAAATTTCTTTGTGAAATAAATTTAGAAAATCGCATGTCCGCAAATAATTTCAAAAAAGTTGAAATATTTATTTTAAAAATTGCACAAAGTTCGTATATGGAAGAAAAGAAAGAAAATATACTAACAATAATAGACGAAAATGGATTAATAAGATTAAAAACAAGAATAGGTAATTGTGAAGCTGAAGAATATTTTAAGCATCCAATTTTTTTGCCTAAGGGATGTTTTGCTATTAAACTAATTTTAAGAAAAATACATGAAGAATTAAATCATTCGGGTGTCGACTCTACACTCGCGAACTTTTTATTAAAATTTTGGACGCCTTGTGCAAGACGTATATCCAAAATCGTTATAAAAGAATGCAAAAAATGTCAAAGAATAATTTCACCTAAATTTGCGCTTCCAGAAATGCCTTCATTACCAAAAGAAAGAGTAAGGCAGTCGCGTCCATTCGAATTTGTTGGAGTGGATTATCTGGGTCCTTCTATTTGTAAAATAGAAGGAGGAAAAGTTAAATTTTGGATTGCACTCTTTACATGTTTATCGACAAGAGGAATCCATCTAGATCTAGTAACAGACCTTTCCGCACTTTCATTCTTAAATATTCTAAGAAGATTTGTCGCACAAAGGGGTGCACCAGTAAAGATAATATCAGATAATGGCAATCAGTTTGTAGTTATTTCTAAAGTGATAAATGCCAATATTGAGGGAAAATGGAAAAAAGAAAAATCAAAAAATGAAGGAAAAGTATTTAATAATTTTTTAATAGAAAATGAAATTGAGTGGAAATTTATACCCGCCCTGTCCCCGTGGCAGGGTGGGGTTTATGAAAGATTAGTAAAATTAGTTAAGGATTGTTTTAAAAGATCGTTAGGAAGTCTTATATTAAATATGGAAGAATTAAGGACATTTATTAAAGAAGTGGAAATGTCAATAAATTGCAGACCGATTAGTCATATATCAGTAGAAAAGGATGGACATATGTGCCTAAGACCGATAGATTTTATGATCCCAAGTGTAGAACTTGCTCAGAAATTTTCAAAAATTGATGATGAAGATTTTAGATTAGGAAAAACAAGTACCGCAGACCAAGTCCAGGAACGATGGATGGCCACATTAAAAACGCTTCAAAAATTCTGGGATGCCTGGAAGCGTGATTATCTCATAATGTTAAGGGATAAAGCAAAGTGGGTCCACCATAATCAAAGAAGTGATTTAAAAAGAGGGCCAAAAATTGGTGAAATTGTTATTGTCCATCAAGAAGGACAACCTCGTAATATTTGGCCCTTAGGGAAAATAATAGAGTTGGATGGCACTCCTGCAAGAAGTGCAAAAATAAAAATAGGAAATAAAACTTTTATACGTCCTATTAATAAAATCTCTCCTCTAGAGATTGAAGATGAAAGTATAAGTGAAGAAAATTTAAATAACAAAAATGAAAAAGAAAATAAATCAGTTTTGAGTAAAAAGGAACCTGAGAGATCAGAGAAGAAAAATAAAAATACTCATCCGATGGTTACAAGATCGAAAGCGGCTTTGTGCCTACAATTTATACAATTAATATATTTAATTGCAGTTGCATCTACTCAACCATCGAGATATATAAATTGTAAAGGTTGTTTTATGAAATGTAGAACTTTTGGCGTTGAAGCTAACGCAGTTGATTATATAAATAAAATTGAATTATGCTGCGCAGGAAGCTGCCTTTTAGAAATAAATGGCGTATCAAGGTTAAAATTTACTATACCAAAAGATAAAACAGCATTGGATTATAAATGCCGAGCCACTTATTGGGGCAAAAAATATATGTACAGAGACTGGATTTCGTGTCCAGCAGTTGACCCATGCATAAGAATAACAGGCTTACGTGAAAGAATATTTAATCCACAATGTGAATCAACAGAAAGCTTAATATTAATTGGTATTGTTGTGGGTCTCATTTTAGCAATTACTCTAGCTGTTGGATTATTTGCTTTTAAAATTTTGTCGATATTTGGGAATTTATTTAAATTAATTTGGTATATTTTTAAAATGCCCTTTAGAATATTTTTCGTACAGAATAAACAAAAAGATCTATCAGAAAAATTATTATTATACAATAAAAATAAAGCTGATAACAAAAAAAGGATAAAGAGAAATCGTAGATTAAATAAATTAAGTTTATTGACAATATTGACTATTTTTTTCAATTTAGTTCAATTAATTAGTGGAGAAGTGGAAGTTGTAGTTATACAAGCTAAATCTGAAGATTGCCAAAGAAAAGGAGGCATTTCGACTTGTAAAATGAATGCCGTAAATACTGTGACACTTTTGCCAAACGAGCAAATAAATTCTCTTTCATTAAAGAACAATAAAGGAATAATAATGGGAGAGTTAGAATTGTCAATGCACGGATTACAAATTCAGTGTAATCAAAAAATATTAAGATATTTAAGATCTTATGAGATTAAAGTTCAATCAATCAAAAGATGTCCAGCAGCGGGTACATGTAAAGCAGGGAGATGTAATCATATCAGGACAAAAGATTATGTTGAAGAATTATCAGAATGGAATGATTATCCTGGTAATTCATTTTGTATAGAAGGAAAGTCCCTTTGGGGATATGGATGTTCATTACCAGGTGCTGATTGTTATTTTTATAGAGTATATGCAGTTCCAAAATCCGATGAGATTTTTAAACTTGTCTCATGTCCTACTTGGGATTATAGTATTGAAGTAGATATAGGACTTGTTTCAAATGGAACTGTTACAAAAAAGAGATTTACACTTAATCCAGGAATGACATTTCAATGGAAAGATATAAAATTTACATTGTTAGATATTACACCCCCAATGGCTCCTATTTTAAATAGCGAGTTTATTATTGGAGAAAAGGGAATCGCAATCTCAGAAAATAGTATTTCCCATTTAGAATGCCAAGAAAATGCCGGAAACTTTTCAAAATGTGAACTAGAATTAAAAGCATGCAACGAATGTTGGCTAGAACAAGAAAATGAAAAAATACAATGCGCATGTACAGATTTTATCGTAGAAAGATTAATAAAAGATCCACGAAAATCATTACCATTAGAAATAAACCGGATTAGATTAAGAAGGAAAGAGGATAAAATTATCAGTGAGTCAAACTATTTGCCTATTCTTTTAATGATCCGCTTTGAAGATTGGTCAATATCCAGCAATATTGACTTTACAAGTTGTAAAATAAATCCTGAATATTTAAAAGGTTGTTATAGTTGTATGGGTGCTATATTTAAATTTAATTGTTCAACTGAATACGGATCAGCTTATGCCGAGATTAAATGCCCCGGAGGCAATACTTTCACAGCAAAATGTAATGAAAAGGGAATTAATCAAAAAATTGCTCTTTCCTTCGATCATTCAGAAATAAATGAAATTTGTCATGTTTACTGTTCGGGAGGTACTTCGAATTTTACATTAAAAGGCCAATTAGAGTTCATTTTACCGGAAAAAGCCAAAGTTATTGTAAAAGAAGGATCATCTAAAATATTTATTGAAAATAATGAAAATTGGTTTACAAATCCATTCTCCAATTTACAGTTTTTAGATTGGAAAAACATACTTTGGGAATTAATAAATTTGCAAATGATCTTAATTATTGTTTTCTCATTTGCACTTATTATTTTTGCATTTAAGATGTTTTTAAAATTTAATCCATTATTCAAAGGCTATAAGTTAGCTACGTCACTTACCATTTTTTATTTTTTTCTTTTGGCCGGATGTTCTATACATTGTTCATGTATAGAGTACTTTAAAATTGAAATGATTCAAAACAAATATTCCTTTGTTGAAAAAGTAAAAATAGAAAGAAATTTAATTAATCATACAAAAATAACAATGTCAATTAAATTTAGCCTTTTATTTTCTTTAAACAATGATGTGATTAAAGAAAATGCAAAAATTTTGATGAATCGAAAAGTTCAGGCAAAGTATTATTTAAACAAGCAGATTTCCTTTCATTTATCTTCTTTTGAACAAAAAATTCATTTTTTAAAAAGAATGTTCTCATTAGTTGAGATTTCTGCGGATTTGTTCCGCTGTAACGTGTTGGATGCTGTATGGCTACTCTATGTGAATGAAAGCCAACGCAAAAAATTGCGAGAATATGTTGATAAAACAATGGATCGTGGAAGCAAACTTTTGGTAAGTAATGGGAAAAATAAAGATTTAGTTGAATTAGATATAATGGAAGATTGGGAAATTGTAGAAAATACAACCTATTTATCGGAAAAACCTAAGGAGTTTGAATCTAGTGAATGGGTTAAATATTGTGATAAGATAACAGAATATATAAGAGAATATATGACCGATGAGGAATCACTCGATAGCGGTATAGGTCCAGGAGTAATAATAAATAAAAAGTGGGGTCAAGAGTTTTATCCTTTAAATTGTGTATTTCTAAGTAAACACTGGGAGGAAGGAGCAAATCCTGATGAGATTAATTTTCAGTTAAACGAGAAAGAAGAATTTAATGAAAACCAAGAAGAAAGTCCAAAAACTGTAATTGAAGTAGAAGTAGACACTCGTGTAGGCGAATTAAAAAAGGTAAAAATTGATTTTAATAAAAATAAAGATTGGTTAATTAAGACTGAAGTGAAACCTGAAATACATTGTGATACTTTAGGAAAGGAATCTAAAACATTTGAGATAAAAGTAAAAGGAAGTATTATGAAAGGAATAAATACATTATTGTTAATTGTACTATTTTTTCTAATAATGGGTACCTGTGTGGGAATCCCAGAGAAGAATATTCCAGCACCAAAGAAAGAAATGAAAGAAAAGGAAGACTCTCCTAGTTCTCGAGGAGAATCTGTTTTGGACAGCGACGAAGAGGAAGCAAAGACTCCTCCAGTCGAAAAGAAAAAAGAAATTAAAATAGAACAATTACAGGAAGTCATGCGCACCACCCTGCAAGACTTTATCTCATCTCAACAATCTACATCTGGAACTTGCACCCCACTAACTTCTACTACTCGTATTCATCCTGTTTATAGAAAAACTCCATATCATATACCAAAAATACAACAAAATAATCAAAACATATCTTCAGTTATTCAACAACAATTAAAAGAAATGTTCAATGAAGGCCCAATTCGTCCTACAAACAAGAAATGTTATAATTGTCAAGCATATGGGCACACGGCACACCAATGTCCACTTAAAAATAATGACAATAGTTCTTCATCTAGATCATTGCCAATTACAACGCCTTCTGTAAATCAAAATGCTTTTAGAATGGCCTCCCATGAACTTGCGGAAATGGGCCGTCGTTTTTCGTCATATCCAACAATTGCTCAACTATTGATACAATTATCTATTTTCTTCAAATCTACTGCTGACAACATGAAAAGATGAGAGAAGTCCTGCAGGGGGAATGTCGATGACGAAAATGAGGATTTAAAGAATTTAAATATTTTTTTGATAATTTTTATATTTTTTATGGACTTTTGTTTATTTTTTAGTGACTCAATGAGTCAATTTCCATTTTTGTCAAATTTTATGTATTTTTTTTTTTGCAATATATTTTTATTGCATCATTTTTATTATTGAAATTTTTGCCTATAAAAAGTGGGCAAAAATTTCACTTTTTCAATATCTTTTTTCGATATTCATTTTATAATATTCTGTGTGAATATTCGTTTGATTGAAGATAAAGATTTGTTTGTATTTTTGTCAATAATAAATTTTTCCCTATTTAATTAAATAGGAAGGTAAAAATAAGGTCCCTTTTTAGGAAATAAATTTTTACAACAGAACCGATTTCCGGCTCTTCCGAGTTCCGACACCTCTGACTGTTCCAACCCACCTCTACTTTGTATGAAGGTATTTTATGTTTCATCCCTCCCATTTTTGGGAAAACCAACTAAATTTTTACCCTGGCTTTTTAAATACTTAATCAAAAATTCTGAAAATTTTGATTTGATATTCATATATGTAAATTTTCATGGCTCAAGACACTCAAATGGTTTACAAATATCTCGCCGCAAGCGTGCTGTGCCGTAACATAAACTTGCCTGTAAGAAAATGAAAACAGAAATTGCCATTAATATAGTTAATGATTTAATTAATTTTTTTGCATATGCCAGCTATTTAAATTATTAAACTTGTTTTATCTTCCAAAACACTCTATACCTTGCGAAGATTTTTTAATTAAAATAATTAACCAAATAGCAACATAACAATCAAATTCGATGAAAAATAGAACTAGGCCTTCTCCGTAGATAAAAGGAGCAACCTCTGGGGTAACAACATCTCCTGCTCCGCACATTACCATACTTGAATAATTTTTATAGATATTCTCAATACAAGGACAATCTCTTAAGATATTCCAATAACCCCACCCCCCCCCATATAGTCGGTTATTAGTGTCTTCCCTTTTCATCAACTAATACTTAATCCTTTTTAGTCTCATTTTGTTCTAATTTTATGTCCAAGAGTTTATCTCCTGTGTGTTTGTGAGGGTTTTTCTATTGCTCCGAGGATGTACATAAAACTGGGTCGGACCACATTTTAACAATAAATATTTACTTATCGGGATGTAAAGAAACACCATAAAAATAATAACAATTTTGAATAAAACATCTAACAAAACAAAAAGTAATTAGGATTGAAGTAGAGATGTATACATCGCTGTCTTTATACCTTTAATATTTTGAAAATTTCAAAAAAATTTTTTTAAGTTTCCAAACCAAAAAGGAAACAAAACACTAATTAATCTATCCACTCCAACACATATTTGTGCACTTGTAGCCAATCCAGCCCCAATTAAAGGTAAAAAAGCAAAATAATAGCAAGTTTTAAGTCTTATAAAATTAGTTCCAGAAAATAAAACAAAAAATTTAACGCCAGAAAAAAGTTGTAAAGGTGTTATAGTTAATGAATTAAATGCTAAAAGTAAATTACAACGGCCATGGAGGGATCTTGAAAAAGATAGGAAAATTAGAGATTTAATTAAATATTTTTGTGATGGAAATTAGGGGTCGTTATTTCGGTAGGTCGAACTCAAAAAAAAATTTCTATAAGTGCTTTAATGATAGGATTTATTTGAGTTATTGTATTTTCAGAACTTTGTTCTCTCAACCTGTTCTCTCAAATTCAACAACTCAGAAACTAAGTTGAGACTTCTAATATAGACTAAGAGAGAGGACTAAAAGAACTTTACGAGTGTTCTCTCTTTTCTTCTCTCACATTGTTTTGTACCTTTCTCTCACTCTCACTCAATTCGCTCGCACAAAAAGAGTTCTCTCACTCTAAAAAAGACTTTTAAATAGCTATTTGCTATTATTTCTTGTACTGATCCCTATCAGGGCATAAGTTAAAAATCACTTGTCTTAGAAAATTAATTAATTACAAACTTGCTCGTTTTAGTCAAATAAACAAACAATATATTTAAACAAAATCCAATCAAACTCAATATAAAATGCCCTCCATACATCGCAACCATATGATGTATAAAACCGGCATTTGCCCAATAATGATGAAACTTTGGGGAAATTATATAGAAATTATTATTTAATTTTAAAAAAATTTACAGGATTTGTATTAAATGTAGTTAAATTATTATTTGTGTTATTGTCGCTCATTTTTAGCAAATTAATAAGAAATAATTTTTTTATTAATTTATTTTCAATGTTTTCTAATTTTAAAAGTCTTTTGATAACTATGAAAAATATAAATTCCGAATATTACAACCGGAAAACACAAAATTAACAATTGAGTTTTAATAATATTAAGAAAATATAACCGGAAGAGGGAAATAAACTTTCCTGAAAATAAACTATAAATATAAAAGTAAAAATTGTAAAAATACAACCGGAAAATATAAAACTTTCCGGAACTATGACTAACTTTTAGAATAATACAACCGGAAAAAATAACGAATATTCGTATAGTAATTTTCCGGAAAATACTTTCCGGAAATATTAACTAATAACTGTAAAATATAACAGGAAAATACAACCGGAAAATATAAAACCTTCCGGAACTATAATTATCTTTCGAAATAATACAACCGGAAAACAAGTATACAACCGGAAAATACAAATATACAACCGGATAATACAACCGGAAAATATTCGTATAGTAATTTTCCGGAAAATACTTATCGGAAATATTAACTAATAATGGTAAAATATAACCGGAAAATATAACCAGAAAATATTCATATAGTATAATAATTTTCCGGAAAATACTTATCGGAAATCTTAACTAACAATTGAAAAATATAATTGTGAAATACAACCGGAAAATAAAAATTTTCCGGAAACGGAATATATTTTTATGTAATTATTGTTATATTCAGAGGTTATATAATTCTGATATTTACTGTTAAAGTTTTGATATTTTCTAGAAGTCTAATTTAATGTATAAGACAAATAATATAAAAAATTTGTTTTATGGTAAACAAAAATTTTTAAAAAAATTTTAAAGTGACTATTAAATTATTATAATTATAAAAGTGCTTATTACATTAAAAAATTATTTATTAAAAATTTAATAAAATTTTCTGTTTATTTTCCAGCGTCTCCTTACCAACAGATACGTGCAGCTGCTTATTAAATTGTGATTTATTATTTAAAATTTATTAAAAATAATTTCCACTTTTTAAAGTACATTGCATAGTATAATTAATAAAAATTCAAATAACTTTGTAATTAAATAACAGAAATTTATGATCTAATTGTAATTGCATTATAAAGTTAATTATTCAATTCTTCACTTCTTTAAAGTGCGTTGCACGCATTTATTAAAAATTCACAACTTTTCTAATTAAAAATAAATTTATAAAATTTTAATTGTATTTGGATTATGCTTTTAAAAGTACTGTCATTGTCTCATTAACATTTTAGTTCAAAAAAATATTTTTAAAATTTTCTAAAGTCACGAAAGCTCATTGTTTTTACTTTCTTCTAGTCTTTTAATACATAAATGTAATCTTTCTAAAACGTACCTGATTATCTACAGTATATATAATATTTATTTATTTATCAGCAAACCACAAATATATTTTAAAATATTTACATTAAAGTCGTTATTTCTAAAATTTTAGCCCAAAACTCTGAAATTTCGATGACCATAAAATAAATATACAGGGGTTATTATTGCAAAATTTTATCTTCCTAAATACGGTAATTTTCTTTAAAATTTTATTAAAAACAATTTTTTACATTTTTAAAGTACATGGCACGCATTTATTAAAAATTTATACAATTTTTTCATTAAAATAACAAGAATTATGAAAATTTTTATTGTAGTTAGTTTATACTTTTAAAAGTATTGTGCAATGTCTCCTTAATATTTTTACTTTTAAAAAAAATTTTTTTATTTTTAAAAGTCACGAAAAACATTTTTACTTTACTTCTACATATTGTTTCATATAAACATTAATAAATTTTAGAGCTGTCCAAGACGCTTGGCCTTAAATCTTGAAAGACTTTTCTTGGGTTTTTTCGGTCTTGGGTTGAAGTCTTGGCCTTTGGCCTAGACTTTTTTGGGCTTTTGAACTATACACCCCTGTAGACCGATGAAACAAAGGAGAAGAACGAATGTTTGTTGCCGTAAAGAGAAAAGAAAGCGAATGTTGAGACGGCTAAAATAAATCCGAACATTTCAGTTACGTTACTGGGGTATTGACTGAAAGTGTTTTAGGTTCTTACAGTTGGGCAATGTCCTAAGTATTAGTTCGGAACCCAAGTGTTAGGTTATTCTTGGGTAAAACACCTTAAATAACCTTAATACCTAGAATAACCTTATTCTTAGGTTATTCTAGGTAACAACATCCTGATCCGAATCCCCGAAGGCTCTACCCCGCCAAACCATGATCCCCGACACTCCCGCCCCCGAAGACTCGGGATGCTATACTAATTTATTCTTCCAAAATTTTATTATTCATAAAGGTGAATAACACATGTGTGTAACACTATTTTTGCCTTCTGCCTTGAAAATTCCAAACAATTTTCTTAAGTCATTAAAATTTTTTTAAGTTTTAAAATTTTTTAATTTAATTTAATTTTTTTTATTTTTTAAAATTTTTAAATTTTTTTAAATTTTTTCTTAAGTCCAGAAAAATTTTCGGTCTTATAAAATGTACGTGATCATCTACAGTATATTTAATAGTTTTACTAAATAATGTTTTTTGCTCCATTTAATTTTTATTTTTTTAAATTAATTTTAAAAACTATTTTAATGGAAATTTATAATTTAAAAGCTAATTATGTTTCACTTTAAGTAAATGTATTTTTTAATGAATAAAAGTATAATATAAATAAATATATTTAACTTTAAAAATCAAAATTGGATCAGAAAATTTTTTAATATGTATAATAGGCACTTTAATAATTAATTTATCGTCACTTTTATATTTTTTTAAAATTTTCAGTTTAATATAAAAAATATTTTTAATAAATATAGGCTATTATTTACCTAATTTATCCAATAAATTAAGTTTGTACAAAAAATCAGAATTTTAAATTAAATATCAGAATTTTTAGCTTCAGAATATAACAGAACATTAAAAATAAATTCTGTTTTACGGTATGTTTTTTCTTTCCGGTTGTATTTTACAATTACATTTTACAATTGGTAGTTTATATTTCCGGAAAGTTTTTTCCGGAAAGTTATTTATCAGAATATTCCTTTTAGTATTTTCCGGTTGTATTTTACAATTCTAATATTTGATTCTGGTTTATTTTTCCGGAAAGTTTTAATTCTTTTTCCGGTTGTATTTTACAATTACATTTTACAATTACTAGTTTATATTTCCGGAAAGTTTAATTTAAAAAAGTTAATATTTTTCAAATATTCTTTTTTTGTATTTTCCGGTTGAATTTTACAATTCTGATATTTAATTCTGGTTTGTACATATTTCCGGAAAGTTTTATTTCTTTTTCCGGTTGAATTTACAATTCTGTACTATCTGATTCTGGTGTATTTTTCCGGAAACTTATAGTTATTTTCCGGTTGTATTTTCTTAATATTATTAAAAATACAATTATAAATTTTGTGTTTTCCGGTTATATTTACAATTCTGTCATTTTTCCGGAAAGTTTTATTTATTTTTTTTCGGTTGTATTTTACTATTATCATCAAAAATACAATAATTAATTTTGTGTTTTCCGGTTGTATTTTACAATTCTAATATTTAATTCTGGTTTATTTTTCCGGAAACTTTTATTTATTTCATCCGGTTGTATTTTATAACTCTGATATTTAATTCTGATTTACTTTTCCGGAAAGTTCTATTTCTTTTTCCGGTTGTATTTTCTTAATACATATCATTAAAATTACAATTATTAATTTTGTGTTTTCCGGTTGTATTAATTTTATCCCTCCTTGTTTCACAGGGACAATTTAAAATTTAAACAAAGCTGAAAATAAATCGCAAATTTATTTTAAATTAAGTAGTTAATTTTAAAATGAGCAACAATAACACAGCTACTAACAATTTAACTACAATTACCACAAGCCCTGTAATTTTTTAAATTAAACAATTAATTTAATAATTTTCCCCAAGTTTTACAATTATTGGGCCAATGCTGGGTTTATACCTAACATGGTTGCAATGTATGGGGGACTTTTTATATTGAGTTTAACTGGGTTTTGTTTGAATATAATGTTTGTTTATTTGACTAAAAAGAGCAAGTTAGTAATTAACATTTTAATAAAAAATATTTTTAATTTTATTTTTTAATGGGAAATGAGTTTAAAAGTTTAATAAATGGCCTAATGGCTGTTTAAAAAAATTTTAGACCTAAACAATATCCTCTCTCAGCCTTTCCCTCAGATGTAAATCGCTAAACCAGCCTACTGAGGAGGGTATTAAGAGCTATGGTATTATTATGCCTCCTAATATTCCTAAAAATCGAACAGAACTACTCTCCTATTAATTTCTTCGAGCTCGATCGACCCTGACTTCGATCGACCCCCCCCCTCTTCTTCTCAGAATTGCCCCTAAACTCTAATCCCTATATGCTTTAATTAAGTATCCAATACTCTCACCCAACCTACTTATATCCCTAGAGTTATTTTGAGGGATATTTGGGAGTTATAGTTGATACTGTTTATCTAAATAATCCTAGTTTCTACTGAAACATTGCTTGATCCATTCTCGCTCCCCAAAATCACATCTCAATCGCTAAATAAATATATTTTTCTTCTTCAAGATCCCTCCATGGTCGTTGTAATTTACTTTTAGCATTTAATTCATTAACTATAACACCTTTACAACTTTTTTCTGGCGTTAAATTTTTTGTTTTATTTTCTGGAACTAATTTTATAAGACTTAAAACTTGCTATTATTTTGCTTTTTTACCTTTAATTGGGGCTGGATTGGCTACAAGTGCACAATTATGTGTTGGAGTGGATAGATTAATTAGTGTTTTGTTTCCTTTTTGGTTTGGAACAAAATTTTTTTTTTAAATTTTCAAAAAATTTGAAGGTATAGAGACAGCGATTTTTACATTTCCACTTCAATTCTTTTCATTTTTTGCTTTGTTCGGTGTTTTGTTATTAATTGTTATTATTTTTATGGAGTTTCTCTACATCCCGATAAGTAAATAAATAATTATTTAATAAATTATAACCTTGGTTTTATGACACCTTTAGACTAAAAATAGGTACACCTAACTTAACCCCCTCCCAGCCTTACGCTCCAATGGTCGCTAAATTTCGAAAATCGTAAATTGAAAATCGAAAGGAAAAAACCCTCGAAAATCGAAATTTCGAAACAACTCTGCTCCCCAACCCTTTGGTTCCAGAAATACCAATGGGTTAAGTATCCCTGTTGACCAGAGAGTCATAGGATAGCTTCTTGGATATAGAATTAAAACCAAGTAAAGATAAGAGGTTGAAGTATAAATTGATGAATTAAATAAGGTAATACGGATGATTAAGAGCAGCGTTTGGATCAAGTAAATGTCAGGTTGAAGCACAAAAATTTTCCTTTCTGATAAACGCCTCCCTAATGAACCCCCTCAGAGTCTACAACCCTAAGTCTCCGATAGACTATGAGGTTGTATTGGGATAGTTAAGAGCCTCCTTTATATTCATTAAAATATTCAAGTATGGTAATGTGCTCAACAGGGGATGTTGTTACACCCGAAGCTGGCCCTTTTGTCTATGATGAAGGCCTAGTTATATTTTTCACTGAATTTGGTTGTTATGTTACTATCTGGTTAATTATTTTAATTAAAAAATCTTCGCAAGGTAAAAAGAGCTTAGAAAGATAAAATAATTTACTAATATTAAAGAAGTGGCAAATTCAAAGAAATTAATTAAATCATTAACCATTTTGATGGGAATTTCTGTTTTTATCTTCTTACAGGCAAGTTTCTTTCACTTTAGTACTATGCTTCGGCGCAGCCTGCTTATGGCGCCGCAGCTTGTAAAACACTTAAATGAGTACCTAGAGCCCTGAAATTTTGTATAGATATTCAGATTGATGTTATCAAACTTTTCTTAAAATTTCAGAATTTTTGGTTAAATATTCTAGAAGTTATGGGCGAAAATTGACCAGATTTTCCCATAAATCTCAATTTTTCGGCCATAACTCTTGAAAGACATAATCAAAATTTCTGAAATTTATACATGTATTAGATAATATCATCTAAAATATGTGTGCAAAATTTCATTTGTATAGGCTTTCATTATCTATTATTTTTAAATTAAATTTACTCCATGTTCTCTCACAAATGTACGCCTTCCCTTATATTCACCTTTCCCCAAAAAGTCATTCTATAATAAAATTTAAAATTTAATTTCTTAAAAATATTTTTAAGGGACAAATTTGGAGAGTAGTTCTAACCTATGTTAGCTTTGATGCTTTTGCTATAGAATATTATATTAGTTTTCCCACTACTTGTCTTTACATGGTTGGATTCAGCAGTAATTTACCTATTCTTGTTATTTTTAGGTTAAATTCCAAATTTTTTCCTTTCTCCAAAAATTTTTAAAATTTTATAGCACGGAGTATAATACAGCTTTCTATAAGCATCTTAGCTGGCTATTTTGTATCAAACCTGGACAACAACATCCAGTTATAGTTTCTATGGTTAGAACATTGGATCAAGTCGAGCATAGAAGGAGAATGGATACTAATACTGTTGTTACTCATTCTAATGTTACTAATACTCGATCAAGAACTTGATTTAAAATTTTATTTTTTAGTCAAATTTTCCCCCTTTTATCCCAAAATTTTTTAAAATTTTTTCTTTACTTTTCTGTAAATAGCCTGAGGGCAAATGCTTATAACTCTGTTCATTAATTTCATATAATTTTAATTTTGGTATCATTCGATTCAGTTTGACGAGACGAATCGAATAAGTAGTCATTTGATTGAACTTTTTGATGTTTTTAGTTAATTTTCTATAAATAGCCTCAGGGCAAATGCTTATAACTCTGTTTGTACATTTCCTATAATTTTAATTTTAGTATGATTCGATTCAGCTTGATAAGTCGAATCGAATGAGTAGTCATTTGATTGTATTTCTTTTTATATTTTTATTTAAAAAATTTTTTTCCTTGAGTATGTCCCCACCAAACAAATTTAATTAAATTTCAATATTTTACAAAAAATTAAAATACAGGGTTTATGGAAAAAATTCACTCGAGTTTTATAAAAATAGTATATTAAATTTAATTTTAAATATAAGCAACAATTTGTTCATTTCCATTCTTTTCAAGCAACTGACGTAAAGAATTGTTCTCTTCTGCTGACCTAGCTTTACGTTCCCCCTCAATTTTTAAAATTTCTTCCTCACTTCTTTTTTTTCTTTTTAATACGGCATTGTTAGAAGCCGAGGACTGTGCCGCCCCTTTACTTTGGACACCCGATTGTTGATTGTTAAATAAGGATTGGACTCCGTTTGTGTTGACAAGTTGGCTAATACTAGATACGTTTGTATTGTCCCCTGTTGCGTCCACACTTCCACGAATGTTTTCGGCTAGGAAAATTTTTAAAAAAATTTTTAAGTGAAAAATTTTTTGAAGTATTGGTTAGTAGAATATCTGATTCTATTTTTAAAAACAGAAAAAATTTTTCTGATTTTTTTTAGTTTTCGGCATACATGTTAAACTAACCCTTACAAACCTTCCTCGAGTCTTTACCCCATAACTCAAGAACACATTACCGAATAAAAAGAGGACCTATACGGTTAAGTAGAGGACAAAATTTTCTACAAAACTGCCTAGATTTTTAAATTTTGAAGGACGGACAATAAAAAGTATGGCCAAAGAACCGACATTACTTTCAATATTTTTCCCTATTTTTCAGTCATAAGAAAAATTTTTAAATTTTCACTTTGTGGAACTCCATTAGGTCCAACCAATTGCAGATTTGCATTAGTTAGAGCACTTGAAGGGCCTAAATAAAATTTTAAAATTACCAAAAAATTTATTCATTTACCAGCCCCTCCTACTTTGGCTAAAATCGTTGAATTCCCAGAATTACCAGTATTACTCAATCCCATAAATGTATTTCCATTGACAGAGGATGACTGTCCTGTTACTCTACCGTTAACCATATTTGTACCTTAAAATTAAAGAAAAAATTCTAGGGAAAAATTTCCTCTTAAACCATTTGCCCCCATTCCCGTTCCATTAAGCAAAGCTCCTTTATCATCAATTGATAGCATTGAGGGTGTCCCATTCGTTGCTTTTGATTCACCCGCAGACCCCACACCTACACCTGTCTGGGGATATCCAGCATTTGCACCGACAAAGGATGAAGCAGACCCATCTTGATTTCCTGTTCCTTGTATGTTCCCACTAGCTAGGCCACCTAAAAATAGGGACCAATTTTAATTGTATTTCAAGGTTAGAATAATTTCCGGTTGTAATTTAGAATTTTATAAAAATTGAAGATTTGATGCGAAAATACATACCGTATTTACTCGATTAATTCCCCTGGGGAATTATTTTTTCAACCCATCCGTCGCATGGGGATTTATTCAAGGGAGGGGAATTATTCGAGTTTTGAAATTTGAATGTGTAGTAGGGTACTTTGTGGAGGGGGATTATTTTTTCAACTCATCCGTAGCAGGGGGAATTATTCGAGAGAGGGGAATTATTGAAGGGAAGGGAATTAATCGAGTAAATAATGGGTTTTATGTTTTGTTTCCGGAAAGATTTACCATTTCTTTTTCCGGTTCTATGTATAATGCGAAAATACAACATTTGTGTTTTATTTCCGGAAAGATGTACTATTTGTGTTTTCCGGTTGTAATTTTCAGAATTGTAATTACAATTATATTAATTTGTATTTTCCGGTTGTATTTTCCGGTGTTTAATTATTTTTCCGGTTTTTTTTGAGAATTTCAATTCACAGTTATTAATTAGTGTTTTCCGGTTGCGATTTTACAATTACAATACTGAATATTTAATTCTGCTTCTATTTCCGGAAAGATTTTTACAATTTGTTTTTCCGGTTATTTTACAATTTTATTTTACAATTATTAAATTGTGTTTTCCGGTTGTGTTTTCCGGTTGTGTTTTCCGGTTGTATTTTTAGAATTGTAAATTTATTGTGTATTTTCCATAATTGTTTTCCGGAAAGATTTTTACAATTTGTCTTTTCCGGTTATTTTCAGCATTTAATTTTAATTTATTAATTCGTGTTTTCCGGCTTTAATTTTACAATTACAATTCTGTATATTCTTTTTCTTTCCGGAAAGATTTTTACACTATGTTCACAATTATATTTTACAATTATTAAAATGTGTTTTCCGGTTGTGTTTCAAAATAAATGTAAATTACATTTATTGTGTATTTTCCCTTTGCGATTTCTTTTTGTTTTCCGGAAAAGTTTTTACAATTTATTTTCCGGTTATTTTCAGAATTTTAATTTACAATTAATTTGCATTTTCCGGCTATACTTTTACAATTACAATTCTCATTATTAACTTCTAATTCCTCACCACTACTTGCTCCATTGCCATTAATGCCACGAATACCATCGCTTACACTAACTGACTTATTCGCTCCATTACTTTTTCCTTGCACACCCACCATGCCGTTAACAGCTCCAGCAGAGTTAATGCTCGAATTTCCCCATAATCCACCTTCACCTGGTCCCGATCCATTCATTACCAGATTTCCGAATGAATTTACATCTAAATTATTTGTGATTTTTGTATTTTTTTTTGTATTTTTTAAACAAAAAAGTAACGCTACTTGAGTTGCCAGAAGTCAATGTTTCAGCTCCAACCAGTCTACTACCACCTGTTTTCGAACTTACTCCTCCAAGCATATCCCCGGACAACTGCGACGAGTTGCCATTTCCAGTACCTTTACCGTATAATTTTAAAATTAATTTTTATTGTAAAAGACCATTAGCAGAAACACGCGAATAAACATTTCCACCACCATTATCATTAACTCCAGACACTAATCCATTGGCGGAGAGGGCTATAAAATATAATAAATTAATTGTAACTTTAATGAGTTCTACGGATAAACTTCACGTGTGTGTACTTCCTTGGGGGTTTGAAAAAATCGCAAACTAAAATGAGGGGTACCCATTATTGTGAGTATAGCTTAGACAGCCTCCCTCGGAGTGACCACCCAACTCATAGTAAATGAGATCACCAGTGCTGGGTATTGGGCATTTGTTGGCTCCGGCTCCTGGCTTTTAAAATCATAGCTCCGGCGCCAGCTCCGGGCAGAGCCATACCCAGCACTGGAGCTCACATTTGTGAAGGTACACAATATAAAGGTCCGACCGTAACTAAAAATGACCTCATAAATATACCTGGATTATATAAAGAACTTCCACTCAACATTATATTCGCTTGGGAGTTGTTTTCTCCTTAAATTTTTTTTGTTATTAAAAAAATTTTTAACAACATATGTATGTATATTTACCCAAAGCAGAAGACATAGCTGACAGCTGAAACATAACCGAACCCCAATTTAGTGTTTGCCCTACAGATAAGTCTACATTGGTCAATATATTGCCTGTTGCTCCAGCTCTGCCCCTGGCAGTTGCGGCTGAGAAAATTTTCATATTTTTTAATCTATTTCAATTATTTACTGTTATTTCCATTGACAGAACCCATGTTGTCTGCAATCACTTGAGAATTGCCTTTTCCCGAAGCAGATCCGGAGTCCGTTCCTGACTGGCTAAGAGTATTCCCATTAACGTCTTGAATAATTATTCTTAATTATCCTAAAAAAATTTTTCTTTTACTTGAAGCACTCATCCCCGATGTTCTGCTATTCGCTCCGACAGCATTTACGTTTCCATTGTTAGACGCCGAGTTTGCCCCAGCCATAGCATTTGACTGGCTCATAACATTACTGGGACCGGTTCCAGCTGCGTTTCCGGATGATGTGCCTTAAAAAATTTTTGAAAAATTTTCAAAATTTTCGAAAAATTTTTAAAAAATTCTTCCTTTACCATTCGCCCCGACTGTTCCATTTGGAGTTTTCCACATTGAGTTTGAAGAGGATAAATCCTAAAAATATTATTTTAATTTTAAAAATGGTTACGAACAGTATTGCTCCCGTTCGCTGTAGCTTTTCCTGATGAGGCAACAGGGGTGCCACCAGCTGCAAGATTTATATAACTAAATTATTGGACTGTACCCTATTTTCAAAAAAGTATTCCTGATAAAAATTCCGGAATGTTCTGTATTTTATTTTGTATATTTGATCACTATTTCCGGAAAGTAATTATATTTTTCCGGAAATTGATTACAATTGTCCAGAAGAAAATTACAACTTTCCCGAAAAATATTAATTACAATCTTCCGCAAAAATATTAATTACAATTTTCCGGAAATATATTAAGTACAACCTTCCGGAAGAAAAATATTAATTACAATCTTCCGGAAAAAATAGTATAACCTTCCGGAAAGAACTAATTACAACCTTCCGGAAAGAACTAATTACAACCTTCCGGAAAGAACTAATTACAACCTTCCGGGAAAAAAAATAATTACAACTTTCCGGAAAAATATTAATTACAATCTTCCGGAAAGAACTAATTACAACTTTCCGGAAAAATATTAATTACAATCTTCCGGAAAGAACTAATTACAACTTTCCGGAAAAATATTAATTACAATCTTCCGGAAAAAATAGTATAACCTTCCGGAAAGAACTAATTACAACCTTCCGGAAAGAACTAATTACAACCTTCCGGAAAGAACTAATTACAACCTTCCGGGAAAAAAAATAATTACAACTTTCCGGAAAAATATTAATTACAATCTTCCGGAAAGAACTAATTACAACTTTCCGGAAAAATATTAATTACAATCTTCCGGAAAAAATAGTATAACCTTCCGGAAAGAACTAATTACAACCTTCCGGAAAGAACTAATTACAACCTTCCGGGAAAAAAAATAATTACAACTTTCCGGAAAAATATTAATTACAATCTTCCGGAAAGAACTAATTACAACTTTCCGGAAAAATATTAATTACAATCTTCCGGAAAAAATAGTATAACCTTCCGGAAAGAACTAATTACAACCTTCCGGAAAGAACTAATTACAACCTTCCGGGAAAAAAAATAATTACAACTTTCCGGAAAAATATTAATTACAATCTTCCGGAAAGAACTAATTACAACTTTCCGGAAAAATATTAATTACAATCTTCCGGAAAGAACTAATTACAACCTTCCGGAAAGAACTAATTACAACCTTCCGGAAAGAACTAATTACAACCTTCCGGGAAAAAAAATAATTACAACTTTCCGGAAAAATATTAATTACAATCTTCCGGAAAGAACTAATTACAACTTTCCGGAAAAATATTAATTACAATCTTCCGGAAAAAATAGTATAACCTTCCGGAAAGAACTAATTACAACCTTCCGGAAAGAACTAATTACAACCTTCCGGGAAAAAAAATAATTACAACTTTCCGGAAAAATATTAATTACAATCTTCCGGAAAGAACTAATTACAACTTTCCGGAAAAATATTAATTACAATCTTCCGGAAAAAATAGTATAACCTTCCGGAAAGAACTAATTACAACCTTCCGGAAAGAACTAATTACAACCTTCCGGGAAAAAAAATAATTACAACTTTCCGGAAAAATATTAATTACAATCTTCCGGAAAGAACTAATTACAACTTTCCGGAAAAATATTAATTACAATCTTCCGGAAAAAATAGTATAACCTTCCGGAAAGAACTAATTACAACCTTCCGGAAAGAACTAATTACAACCTTCCGGGAAAAAAAATAATTACAACTTTCCGGAAAAATATTAATTACAATCTTCCGGAAAGAACTAATTACAACTTTCCGGAAAAATATTAATTACAATCTTCCGGAAAAAATAGTATAACCTTCCGGAAAGAACTAATTACAACCTTCCGGAAAGAACTAATTACAACCTTCCGGGAAAAAAAATAATTACAACTTTCCGGAAAAATATTAATTACAATCTTCCGGAAAGAACTAATTACAACTTTCCGGAAAAATATTAATTACAATCTTCCGGAAAGAACTAATTACAACTTTCCGGAAAAATATTAATTACAATCTTCCGGAAAAAATAGTATAACCTTCCGGAAAGAACTAATTACAACCTTCCGGAAAGAACTAATTACAACCTTCCGGGAAAAAAAATAATTACAACTTTCCGGAAAAATATTAATTACAATCTTCCGGAAAGAACTAATTACAACTTTCCGGAAAAATATTAATTACAATCTTCCGGAAAAAATAGTATAACCTTCCGGAAAGAACTAATTACAACCTTCCGGAAAGAACTAATTACAACCTTCCGGGAAAAAAAATAATTACAACTTTCCGGAAAAATAATAATTACAATCTTCCGGAAAGAACTAATTACAACTTTCCGGAAAAATATTAATTACAATCTTCCGGAAAGAACTAATTACAACTTTCCGGAAAAATATTAATTACAATCTTCCGGAAAAAATAGTATAACCTTCCGGAAAGAACTAATTACAACCTTCCGGGAAAAAAAATAATTACAACTTTCCGGAAAAATATTAATTACAATCTTCCGGAAAGAACTAATTACAACTTTCCGGAAAAATATTAATTACAATCTTCCGGAAAAAATAGTATAACCTTCCGGAAAGAACTAATTACAACTTTCCGGAAAAATATTAATTACAATCTTCCGGAAAGAACTAATTACAACTTTCCGGAAAAATATTAATTACAATCTTCCGGAAAGAACTAATTACAACTTTCCGGAAAAATATTAATTACAATCTTCCGGAAAGAACTAATTACAACTTTCCGGAAAAATATTAATTACAATCTTCCGGAAAAAATAGTATAACCTTCCGGAAAGAACTAATTACAATCTTCCGGGAAAAAAAATAATTACAACTTTCCGGAAAAATATTAATTACAATCTTCCGGAAAGAACTAATTACAACTTTCCGGAAAAATATTAATTACAATCTTCCGGAAAGAACTAATTACAACTTTCCGGAAAAATATTAATTACAATCTTCCGGAAAAAATAGTATAACCTTCCGGAAAGAACTAATTACAACCTTCCGGGAAAAAAAATAATTACAACTTTCCGGAAAAATATTAATTACAATCTTCCGGAAAGAACTAATTACAACTTTCCGGAAAAATATTAATTACAATCTTCCGGAAAGAACTAATTACAACTTTCCGGAAAAATATTAATTACAATCTTCCGGAAAAAATAGTATAACCTTCCGGAAAGAACTAATTACAACCTTCCGGGAAAAAAAATAATTACAACTTTCCGGAAAAATATTAATTACAATCTTCCGGAAAGAACTAATTACAACTTTCCGGAAAAATATTAATTACAATCTTCCGGAAAAAATAGTATAACCTTCCGGAAAGAACTAATTACAACCTTCCGGGAAAAAAAATAATTACAACTTTCCGGAAAAATATTAATTACAATCTTCCGGAAAGAACTAATTACAACTTTCCGGAAAAATATTAATTACAATCTTCCGGAAAAAATAGTATAACCTTCCGGAAAGAACTAATTACAACCTTCCGGGAAAAAAAATAATTACAACTTTCCGGAAAAATATTAATTACAATCTTCCGGAAAGAACTAATTACAACTTTCCGGAAAAATATTAATTACAATCTTCCGGAAAGAACTAATTACAACTTTCCGGAAAAATATTAATTACAATCTTCCGGAAAAAATAGTATAACCTTCCGGAAAGAACTAATTACAACCTTCCGGGAAAAAAAATAATTACAACTTTCCGGAAAAATATTAATTACAATCTTCCGGAAAGAACTAATTACAACTTTCCGGAAAAATATTAATTACAATCTTCCGGAAAAAATAGTATAACCTTCCGGAAAGAACTAATTACAACCTTCCGGGAAAAAAAATAATTACAACTTTCCGGAAAAATATTAATTACAATCTTCCGGAAAGAACTAATTACAACTTTCCGGAAAAATATTAATTACAATCTTCCGGAAAAAATAGTATAACCTTCCGGAAAGAACTAATTACAACCTTCCGGGAAAAAAAATAATTACAACTTTCCGGAAAAATATTAATTACAATCTTCCGGAAAGAACTAATTACAACTTTCCGGAAAAATATTAATTACAATCTTCCGGAAAAAATAGTATAACCTTCCGGAAAGAACTAATTACAACCTTCCGGGAAAAAAAATAATTACAACTTTCCGGAAAAATATTAATTACAATCTTCCGGAAAGAACTAATTACAACTTTCCGGAAAAATATTAATTACAATCTTCCGGAAAAAATAGTATAACCTTCCGGAAAGAACTAATTACAACCTTCCGGGAAAAAAAATAATTACAACTTTCCGGAAAAATATTAATTACAATCTTCCGGAAAGAACTAATTACAACTTTCCGGAAAAATATTAATTACAATCTTCCGAAAAAATAGTATAACCTTCCGGAAAGAACTAATTACAACCTTCCGGGAAAAAAAATAATTACAACTTTCCGGAAAAATATTAATTACAATCTTCCGGAAAGAACTAATTACAACTTTCCGGAAAAATATTAATTACAATCTTCCGGAAAAAATAGTATAACCTTCCGGAAAGAACTAATTACAACCTTCCGGGAAAAAAAATAATTACAACTTTCCGGAAAAATATTAATTACAATCTTCCGGAAAGAACTAATTACAACTTTCCGGAAAAATATTAATTACAATCTTCCGGAAAGAACTAATTACAACTTTCCGGAAAAATATTAATTACAATCTTCCGGAAAAAATAGTATAACCTTCCGGAAAGAACTAATTACAACCTTCCGGGAAAAAAAATAATTACAACTTTCCGGAAAAATATTAATTACAATCTTCCGGAAAGAACTAATTACAACTTTCCGGAAAAATATTAATTACAATCTTCCGGAAAAAATAGTATAACCTTCCGGAAAGAACTAATTACAACCTTCCGGAAAGAACTAATTACAACCTTCCGGGAAAAAAAA